TGAGGATGGTTTATCACACAGCAATAAAACACTGAAACACCACACTTTTATAACTAAGTAGTCTGCTTCTTAAGCTCCCCTCACTACCAAATGTGAGTGCCACCTGTTTCCAATGGGGTCCTGGCTGACAAAACGTGAACACTAGTCACTGGAGCCGGTGATCACAGCCTAGAATTCTTCTGAGGAAACAACAGAACCACACTTCTCCCCAAGGTCAGACATGGCCTGGTGACTTGCTCTGCTTTAGAGGATGAAATCTGAACAAGAACACGTATCACTTCCAGACATAAGGGGCGTGATCCAGTGGGCCACTCCCTATGTCCTCTTCCTCTGACATTGTGACAAGTGATATTAGCTCCAATGATGAAGGTTGCATCAACCCTGATCCTTAGTAAGGGTAATTCGGGGGAAAGGTGACCTATAAGCTGCTTGTGTCACACCCAAGATGTACACAAAGTGTGAACAAGAGAGAGTGCTTGCGGCTTCAGCCCGAGATTGTGGGCTTCTTTGTGACTGAATAATCAAAGCTCCTTTGTCAATTTAATGCTGACCACATAACCCCGAGTGCTCTGTACATCACGAAGGAGGCCTGTAAATTAAGCTAACAGGCATGCGTCCATCTTTTTCACATCTACTGTTAGGGAACCATGGAAATCAGCACCTCTCTGACTCCATCTTCAGGGAGCAGTCCTGACCCAGAGCCCTGCAGCTACACTTGGGAAACCCCCCTACATTTGCTCCAAGGCTACACTTCCCGAAGGTGGCTCCAGCCTGTGACCGAGGGAAGCAAGATGCTATCTCCTGGGAGAACAGGCCTCCTCCACCCACAGCAGGCTGAGACACGTCCTGCAGACCTTCTGTCACGCTCTCCTCCTCCTGGGGTCAGGCAGCATTGCAGTCTGACAGTTCTCTACCCCTCCCATCCTGCTCCTTATGTTCTCAAACACCAGCATTTCCTGAAGTAAAATCTTAGCACATTTATTCTAATCCTGGCATCTGCTTCTCTGAGAATGCAGGCTAATGTAAGTAAACCAGTGAACATTCAGCTTTGAAATCTGAGCTTTGGCAAAGTAAACACACACCAGACAGATAGATAAGGGTTGTCCCATTAATCTGAAATCAGAAAGAACCAGTTTTGTATAGTTAGATCCATACACACAGTAGACTCCAGTTCTTTACAGCCTGTGTTACTGTGGCATCATTTTCTTTAATATGACTTTTGCAAAGCATGACTTCAGCCTATTTGTAAGAATGTATCCTTTCACAAATGTCCCATTGGGTTTCCAATCCCTTACCTAAAACCGTAGACAGCGTATGTATTTTGGAATTCAAAACTTTTAGAAAAACAGCCGGGCACTGGTGGCTCACACCTATAATCCTAGCTAGTTGGGAGGCTGAAATTGGGAAGATCATGGTTCAAGGTCAGCCCAGGCAAATAATTCAGGAGACTCCCATCTCCAAAATAACCAGAGCAAAATGGACTGGAGATATGGCTCAAGTGGTAGAGTGCCTGCTTTGCAAAAGCAAAGCACTGAGTTCAAACCCCAGTCCCACCAAAAAAAAAAAAAAAGTAGTATGTACCATTTGCCATATTTGACACAATATCCCCAGGGTGTCTGGGCAGCACCCTATAATCAAATCTATTAATATTTCTTCCACAAGATGTGCAAATACCACCACAAGAATGCTGAGTAGCCTTGAGATATTCGTGTGGGGCTGGACACCAAATGAGCTCAGCTGCAAAGGTGAGGCTGTGTGCCAAATGAATACATAAATATATGCTCAGTTTTCAAAGCTCCTTTAGTTTCTCTCCCTCTCTCTCTCTCTCTCTCTCTCTCTCTCTCTCTGGTACTCAGAATAAAGCCTAGGGCCTTCCTCACAGGTTAGGCAAGCACCTAGCTATACTGCCAGCTTCAGAGCTTTTTAAAGTTTAAGTTGTGGATGAGGAATTGTAGACAATTGCACACTACCAAAAACTATACCGCTCTTCAGAAAAACATCAGGTGTAAGTTGTGCTAACACAGAAGAATGGCCACATGAGGAAAGGCAGAGTGTGGGGAGAACAGTGTGGCTGGTCCTCACCTGGCAGCACCCCCTCCGCATCTCTTACTCCCCACAACGTTCTGTATTGGCTTGGTCGCCAGTTAAGAAACGCAGTGAAAATACTGTGTGTGGGTAACTGACTGTGACATGGGGGAATTTTTAATGTGGATTTCTTTGTGTTATTTATGAGACAGAGAGTAAGTCCATCTCTGTGAACTACCTGCATGGATGGCAGGTAACTGAAATGGTACAGGTGAAGTAGGAGCTGAGAGACAGCATCAAGGAAATGTATTTGGAAAACCAAATGGGGCCTGTGTGTGAAGGCACTGGACCCCGAGGACACAAGGGATGAACAGAGAGGCTCCTACAGCAGACTTGAACCCACACTTCTAGGTGTCCCTTCCCATGTCCAGGGAGAGGATGCAGGAAATGGGACCCGACTGCCCCCACCTGGAAGCTCTCAAGCTACACCAGCCCTGGACTTCTCTCTGTCCCTGTGAGCACGGCACCCCTGCCCTGCTCCGTCCTCAATCCTCTTCATTCCAACTGAAAAAAACACAAACAAGACAGATGAAAAATGGAGAGAAAAATTAATGAAGGAGGGGGAAAAAAATCACCCTTTGTTCTCCCTGACAGCTAAATGGAATCGCCCTGGGAGGAACCGTCTGTGGTGGGTAAAAGAGTCTTCATTAGAGAGCTGATTCAAATCCAGAAGAGTAACATTCACTTTTCACTGTCTACATTCAGCACTGACTCTCTTTTACAATAAACATGGATTAACTTTGTGGCTTTGAGCATCTCACAGTTGAATTATGGGCCCTATTGAGAATAAAATCAGGTAATACATGTAAAAATCACCTAAAATGTTGGCTAGCTATTGTTCTCTTACGACACTGTCTGGGAAGGTGCTGAATGCCAGCACTGTGGACACTTTAACAACCCTCCATTTGCATGGTGTTTTCTTCAACCTCAGAGTCTAGGGTAATGTTCTGAGCACTAAGGGTCCCCAAGGGGACAGAACACCTGGGAAGCTGCCCTGAGTGTGTGTTCCACCATGGAGACAGACCACACACAGTGTGGTGACGGCCTGAATTCCACTTATGCCATGCACAGTGTGACTGCAAAGGCCTTCCGAACAGCTCTGTGAGGTGACACTCAGCCTCAGTTACGGAGAGAGGTGTCACCATGCTAGATTACAATAGACAGGACCAAGAAGCTCTGGGGTACTGCGACACAGGTTGGTGACTGCAGACAGGGCACTGTACATTCCAGAAAGCCACACAAAAGGATTGTGAAGGCTTTCACCATAAACAAATGACAAATGTTGAGAAGACAAGTATGTCCCCCTGACTTAAACATTACTCATTGTATCAAAACATTACATGGTCCCCCACTCATTATAAAAAAAGAGTTGTCATTAATATCGGTAACATCAAAATATGCTATTGTAACATAAGTATCTTGAAAAATAGTAATTATAATAGTTACCACCATTACAATAACTATTTTATGTCAACAGGTGAATAAGGAAAAAAGGGTGGGAATAAGTGACTCTGTATGTGACCATACAGAGTGTGTGTGGATGGCTACCACCTACGAATTTTAATAGCACACTGTATTCCAAAGACAGGAACCTGCCTCCACAGAGGCCTCCCCTGCAAGACCTCACCCCATCCCCAAACAGCAAAATTCTAACAGAACCACAGCCTACAAACAAATGTGAGGACTGCACTTTCCAAAGGTATGCCCTACATTTTCCAAGATAGATCCAGGTGCACAGACTTGATCTCTCTGTGCCTGTAAACTACAAAAACATCCTTGGATGTTTAAACCACATCCAAGGTTAATTCTTGAACCTAGATGTAACACAAAAAGCCTGGTCAGACCAAGTACCCTGTTCACCTTGGCAAATGTGGGCCCTGTGCTCAAAAGGCACTGAAGGCAAGGGAGAACTAGATGCTGTAAACCAGAAGGCCCGCCAGCATGCACCACAGTTCATGCTGCTGTGCTCATGTGTGCTTGGACTCTGAAAAGAGCCCACACAAACGGGACTTCGCCAGGCAGAGGGGTGAGCAGTGCATCAAAACAGCGTGGGAGCTGCTCCCTGCTTCACGCCCAGAGGTGGCAGAAACTTGACAAAAAATCCTCCGAACGGAATACTCTGTAAATCTCTTCACGTACTGAAGAAAAACCTCCTAACGATTAGAATTCTAGGTCCACGGGTGTCTCGTAGCAGCTCACAATGGAGAAGATATTGCTTGATTTATTATACAGAACGAGAGTCATAAGGAATTCAGAGCAGTGCTAATGAGACAGCCAACCTTTGATGGAACCTTAACTTGGCTTTGCTTTCATTTCTGCTGTCACAAAACTATTATAATAGAAAATCATGTCCTATTAAAGGAGAGGGCAGAGTGTGGCACTTGTGCCACCACTGCCCCCTCATGCCCACAGCAGACCCTACACTCTCTGTGACAGACATGGCCACGGAGCACAGCTTGACAGAGCCTTCTAAGTGACCTCCACCCACAGGAGGCACAAGAGGCATGAGAGTCAGAGACTACCTGCCAACTCTCCTTGACACTGACTGTCTTGCTTGACATTCACAAGGCCATATTCTGTGACACTAAATTGGCCCCACCCGACTTGTGTCATGGCTAGTTTTAAGATCCATATTTGATATTGCTAAGAAGTATGAATGAGGGCTACGCATGGTGGTTCAGGCCTATAATCCCAGCTACTCAAGAGGTGATAAGAGGATCACAGGTGGAGGGAAGTCTGGGCAAAAAAAGTTAGTAAGACACCATCTCAAATATAAGCCAGGCATGGTAGTTCAAGTCTGTAATCCTGGCTACTTGGGAGACAGAAGTAGGAGGATCATGATCTGAGGCTGGCTACGGCAAGAGACACTATCTAAAAACAAACTAAAGTCAAAAGGGCTGGGGGCATGGCTGGAGTGTCTAGCAACTAGGAGGCCCTGAGTTCAATCCCCAGTGCCACCAAAACAAGAAGTAAGGACAGAAAGAGAAGAAAAACAAGCTAGAGGCACCATGGAGTCTATTACACTGCTGTTTACCTTCCTCAGTTTCCTCTGGTTGTACTATAGACAGACAGAAGATGACGTTAGCCCATCACTGACCTTGTGGAGGGCAGGAGCCAAGACCGGTACCAAGAATCCATTGTAAATGTAGTTGACGAGCTGGCTTCGGATCAGGGGGTGCGCCACCTGAGACAAGAACAGACAGTCACAAGAAAGGCAGCGCATTGCTGGGCTTTCCTCAAATCAAACAGCTTTGTGCACATCCTGGACACAAAAGGGAGTTCAAATCCAGGCTGTTCATTCATAGCAAGCAGACTATTTCAGACTTCTGTCGTTCTGGCATAAACAGACTTGGTTGAAATTAGACTTCCAGATTTAGGAAAAAAGTGATTACTTTAATGAGTCTATTTAAAAAAATAGACTGTATATGTATTAAGGATTAATAAATTAAAATTAACAAATGGAAACTATAATTTTTGCCCCTTTATCCATTTCCACTTGTGACTAATTTTTTAAAAAGAGTGTTAACTGTCAAAGTGGACAATTAAATACACATATTTTGCTAGCAGAAAGAACTTTCTTATTTTGTAGATACATTTTCTTAGAGTCACTTATATTAGGAAGGAAGGAATTTAGAAAATATTTTCATAAAAATAGGTAATGTCAAAGCAGAAAGCATTATTTGAGGTATAACACTTTCTATATTTGAACTTCAAAATATGCTTAGCCCGATTTGGAACTGTCACATGAATCCCCCTGTATAGCAAATATATCCTAATAAAAAAATTTTTAAAAGAAAATAGGAAAAAACATGCTTAGCAAGGATAACCCTTTACTAGTATCTTTTGTAAGTAACCTCTCCAGTAAATCCTCCAAACAAAAATTCTTAAAAGTATATGGCTTCCGGCCAGGCACAGTGGCTCACACCTATAATCCAAGCTACTCTGCAGGTGGAGATCGGGAGGGTCATGATCTAAGGCCAGCTCAGGCAAAAACGTTAGTGAGACCACACTCTCCCCATCTCAATCAATAGCTGGGCATAGTGGTATATACTTGTAATCCCAATTACATAGGAAGGCCTAGGTAGGAGAATCTGAGGCCAGTACCAGGCCAAAAGAAAATAAAATCAAGACCTTCTCTGAAAAACAATCAACACAAAAAGGTCTGGGGCATGGCTCAAACAGTAGAGTGCCTTCCTAGCAAGCACAACGCCCTGTGTTCAAACCCCATTACCTCAAAAACAAAACACAAAGGTATAAGGCTTCAACTCAAAACACACCATGAAATATATAAGATTCCTGTTCTTCACTACATTCATTAGTTTTATTTCTCTTTCAAAACAGAAAAAGAGTTGACCAATAAAGTAAAAAGCAATTTCCAGGGAAGTGAGGCTAGGTGCTTAAATTTCCAGTAATCTCTCTCTCTCTACACTGGGAGACGAACTCACAGTAGTTCAGTGTTTTTATTTCTACACACATCTGCAAGAAATGTGATAGATTGTAATATTAAAGGACAAAATAATTTAAAATGTAATCCATTTATCTTACATATAAATAAAACCTCCTTTGACTAAGCAATAAAAATGAGATGGGAACTAAAGTAATTTACTTGCATTTTCTTCCAGAAGCTATTTCTTTATTTGGTAGCTAAACAGATTATAACTAACATTTTTCACCCCAAAATCACCATAAAATAAACCCGATTTCTTAATAAATCCAATTTTAAAGTAATATTTATGCTGTATAGAAGTAAAACATTTTTGATGAAAACCTACTATATCCCTAAATATATATATAAAATCTGATTTTTATTGAAAACAGTAACAAGAAATCTGAAGGTAAAAATCTAATCAAGGAGCCAAATATCCAGAGTTCAGTGGTTGTTTTTACCCCCTAAAGCAGGCCAATTTCAAAGCAAATTTAATTTGTGTTGCTAAGAAGATGGTTAACTTCTTCCAAATTCAATTGGGATAACAATATTCTTTATGTGGTATGCACCATTAAGCAAAATAAAGTGTTTTCCTTTGTAGACTCCCAAGAAGACCTTGAAGTAAAAGCGTTATAATTTGGAATACTTAGAAGCCTAAAAATATCTATTTAATGAGTAAGGCACTGAACTTATTTTTGATGGTTAAGTGGATAATCAAAACAGAATTAACACTTTTTGCAAAGAAGATAAAGAAAATGATCTCATTTTTTTTTCTCAGTTGAAACTTCCCAGAAGTCTACAAGCTAACATTTTCAGTCATTCGAGGACATCAGGTGGGCTTCAAGTAAACCATTAACTATTGCACAAGCACATGTTAAAAGTAAGGAAGGGTACCTAGGCACACTAAGCCTTGGGTGCTTAGACACGCTGACCCTTGGGTGTCTAGACACCCTAACTGTTGGCTGTGGTGGACCCAGCCAGGCCATGGCCTACCTGGATGACTGCATTGCAAAACTCCAGGGAGTTCATGAACTGCACGAGGGGAGGTAGCAGGAGCCAGTCATCCTTTAGCAGACAGTGCCAGTCCTCGCCTTTCTCTTCCAGCTTCGTGGGCAGGGAGGAGTAGAGTCCACTGAGCCCAGTGGCAAGCACCTGCATTCAGAAATAAAAATGTGACCTGCACATAACAGCTCACAGAGGGCACCCTTGTTGCTGGTCCAAAGACTGGACTTTGAGTAGCGAGGTAATGAAGAAGTGAGAAGACAGCAGCGAGCCAGGAAGGATGCACGAGGTGGGAGGCAGGGAAGGACCCCTCCCAGGGCTCGGTTACTGCACACAGTGGTGAGCCTGCTTGTCTCTCACGTGCCAGGCCCTGTGCTGGGCTGTCAGTGGGGAAGTGAAACACAAAGATGAAGACAACACGATCCCTGTCCCCAAGAAGTCCAGGAAAGGGCCAAACTCCCAAATAAAACAGCACTGTATACTACACTGAGTGCAATGCAAAGAAGTATTATAGCGCAAACCCCAGACTACGGAGGCAGCCCTGGACTGAGCTGCCCAGGACAGGTAGGGACCACGAGTAGCATCATGGGAACTAATCCTTGCAGCTCCCCGCATGTTTCATCATGACTGATGCTCGCATGAGACAGGTCAGAATACTCTTTCATGTGCACTCCCCCACAGTGTAGCAAGGAGAAAGAACAGGTGGGGGTGGAGGCCAGGTAGATATGGTGACAAGAGTTGCAACAGAGCTAAAGTGAGTCTACCAGCAGGAGGAAAGGAGAGGAGAAAACACCTTTGAGCCTCACACAGAAAGTGGATTCCAAGGCTATCTAAGCGAGACTTCTGACTTCAATCCAAAGCTCCTTGATTCACTTTCTCCCTCAGTGCCCTGGGTGAGCGAGAACCCCCAACTGCTAGCTTATCCAAAGTGGTCACCGAAAACAAGAAGAGGGCTGGAGGAGGGGCTCAAGTGGTAGAGTGCTTGCCTAACAAGCACAAAGCCCTGAGTTCAAACCCCAGTACCACCAAAAAAAAACAATAAGCTGGGGAGGTAGCTCAGTGGTTGAGTGTTCACTTAGCATGTATGAGGCTCTCGGTTTGATTCCCAGTACTGCAAAAAAAAAGAAAAGAAAATGCCTTAGATGGAAACAGAAATAGAAAGGGAAATTACTTGATGCCAGTGCCCACTGATTTTATCATGCAGAGTCTAAGACCAGGAAGATAATGAATTTCACAGGACTGGGAAGGTAGATAAGCCTAGGCCGCATCTCAGACATCCTGATTCAGCAGATATGGCACTGACTGGACACACGAAGTTCTCTACAAAAGGCTCACTCTAACAGACTCTGAGGTTCCAAAGAGCCCAAACAGGATGGAAACAAATGGTGACATACTCATTGGGTTCCCCAGTCTACCAGTGTTAAAAATGCTCAGAACACACAGTGGGAAATACATGGTGCTGTGAGTGTGCAAAAGACTTGGGGAAAGGGTGACAGCAGGAAATGTTCCAGAAGTGACACCCAAACTACTGAAGAATAAACAAAGTCAGACACAAAGTGGTGGGAAGAAGAACATTCCACAAATAGGAAACCCGGCATGCACAGAAGCTCAATGAAGAAAAAAGATACGGAGTCCTCTAGGACCAAGGAAAGTGCAGTAGGCTTAGAGCAGGGATTTCTAGGTGGAAAGAGACAGACAAGGTGAATACGGGCAGGTGAGCAGGTCCCGTAGGGTTTATAGGCCAGGATGAATAGTTTGTGTGACATCCCCATGGAAAGCCCGATGCACAGCTATGTGGGTCTGACACTTAGGAGAGTGCTCTGGGCTAGGGATGGCAGTTGGGGTCATCTGTGTGGAGGTCGCACCTCAGCCACATGAACCAGAGAGAGAAGGAAAGAGAGGTTTAGACAGGTGGGAGCTATGACAAAAGAACCCACAGAGCCTGACGTGGGAATCAGAAAGACAGAAGGAGGTATGGTATATTAAACTTGGGGAAAATTCCATTCCATTGCTGGAGAAATCAAGACTACATTCATTTGTCTTATCTGTTCTACCTCCTAGGAACCTTCATTCACTCATTAAAAAAAAAACAAAAAAACTAACCACTCAACGTCAGGCCAGGCACTATGTTAAGTTGGGAAAATGGCACTGTAAGCAAGACCTCTTTTTCAAAACCAGGGCATCTGTGGTCCCAAAGGAAGATGTCCCCTATTTAAAGGACTTAACTCCTTGTCAACATACCCAAACAAATCACTTTAATTCTGGTTTTGAATGTGACCCAAATGAGTTGCCTGTTATAAATTAGAAAACTCTGGCAAAAGCGAACAGAGCCTAAAAGTTTTCCTCCAGGAGAAGTCTAATCTTGATGGCACATTTTTAAAATCAATTACATTTGCTAACTTATGCTAAATTAACCACAGAACAAAGACTTTAATTCTATGTACTCCTGGTTTCTCAACCACTTTGAAGCTTTGAAGATGAATTCGTAAAGACAGGCTTAATTTGTCTGACTAAAAAGCTGGGAATAACTATTCAGTATATCAATATAATTACAGCAACATTAATTTTCGAATTACATACATCAGTGACAGTAATTAAAAATAACACACACCTAACAGTTACTTTTTAAAGAGAGTATTCTGAAAGGGATGGCTGAGATGAGCACAGAAAGGAGCCTGCCCCGACAGAAGGACACTCCTGGTCCAGAAGAAGTTATTAAAGCTCTCTGAACTTCAGTTTCTTCATTGAAGTGTTGTGAGGATTAAAGACAGTAATGCATATGAAAAGACTAGTGTAATGGTCTACACACAGCAACATTTAAAGATGGAGGAAAGAAAAAGACAGGCACACAGCACTGAACAAGTCCACCTTTAAACATCTAATGGTACCCAGTTAATTTTAGCAAAAACAAAGATTTCCTAGCAGATGGCTTTAGTCTGAAGCTCGCAGCAAAACACCTGGTGGAGACCATTTGATACAATGTGCCAAAATAAAAAGCCTCATAAATTTTGGATACAGGATAAACAACTTCCTACCTGCGGCTATGTACCTAAAGGTCACTTACTTGCATTTGCATTTCTTGATTTATGGCTACCAGGCTGCTTTCTACTTTTGCCAATGTATAACAAATGGCGTGGGCTTAACCATCAATATTTTGGCTTAAAAAAATCAGAAGAAACAGGATTATTTAGTCCCCTACCATTTGTTAGCATCATACTGTTCTCTAGGGTATCCTTCCTGTCCTGCTTTTCTTGGGAAAGAGAAGACATAAGGGGCAACGGAAGCCGACCCTCTTCCTATTGACTTTAACAACAAAAGTTTCCAAAAGAGGTCCAATTTGCTGAAGTGGTCATTACTCCCCAACAGTCTGATGCTAACACACTTTGACAATCATACTAATTATAGAAAGCTCTCTGTCCACTGTGGTCTTTAGCTGGGTGGTTAATAGAGTATGCTTTTATCCTCGACATAAAGGGGCCTTTTTGTTTTAATTATGTTGTCAGATGTAATTATAGAAAACTGGGTACAAATAAGATTATGGGATCTATCCTGAGGGGCAACTTAACACAGGAAACTCGACTTCCATTCCAGAAAATAAGGTCAGCTGGCAATTTTGGTTTCCCTCCAATTTTAATGAACTGTACAATGTTTTAAAACACGTTTTTATAAAAGCAACAATTACTTGGTGAAATCTGCTTAGAACACAGCAGAAATCTAGGCATTAAAAGCATGCCCCGGTTTTGTCTCCATACATTTCAATGTTTAGCTATGAAATATTACAAGCATACAAAACACAACAGAATAGAACCTATCAGCAATACTTAACAGATCAACTTCTTGATAATTTCTTTAGAGCACTCTGTATTTTTTCGAAACCTAAAACATTACAGGCAGAGGGAGCAGCTGAGTGGTAGGCACACGCTTAGCATACACAAGGACCTGGCTTTAATCCACACCACCAAAAAATGCATAAAATATTATAAATAGAATGAAGCTGTACTCTAATTCCTTTACACGCCTTCCTCATCCTCGAAAGTAACTACGGTCTTGAACTTAGCACATATTATTCCTGTTCCTGCTTTGTACTTTTACTATGTCTGTGAGTAACCAAAAAACAGAAGGCATTAAGATTTTGCGTTCTAAAACTTTATGTAGATATTAACATGCTGTATGTCACCTGTTGCTACCGACTTGTTTTACTCAGCACGGTTTTAGGTTTATGGTCTTCATACATGTACATGTAGTCATATGTTAACACATGTAATTCATTTTGAATGGTAAATGGTCTCTGTGTTGCTATGTGAATTAACTAGTTTACTTATCTTTTTTACTACACATTTCTATTTTTCTCTGCTTTACTACAGGAACACGTGCCAGATTTCTCTAGGGCAGATATCCAGAAGTGGAGCTATAGGATCACACAGCATGTAAATGTTACATTTTAGGAAATATTGCTGTGCTGCTTTCCCAAGTTATTCTACCAATTTATATTCATACAAGTTCTTGGTTCTTCCGTACCCTTACAACCCATGGTGTTATGAGACTATAAGTGACTGGTCACTGTGACGATTAGTAACTGGTTCCTCCAGGGGGCCCAGTGACTCTCAGTGCATTCCCTGGATTCTAGGGAAGATGAGTGTATTTCCAAACGTTCGCTGTCTTGGGTGAGTCTCCTGGGACTTGTTCACTCATAGCCTTTGCTCATTTTCAAATCAGTTGTTTCCCCTTTTTCTTAATTTGTAATATTATGGCTATTTCCATGTATTTGGATACCAACATACTGAATGAGAGTGGGGACAGTGGACACCCTTGTCTTGCTCTTGACTTTAAAGGAAATGGATTCAGTTTTTCCTCACTTAGGTATGATGTTAACCATAGGTTTGACATTTATACCCTTTATCATGTTGAGGTACATTCCTTCTATTCCTAGTTTCTTTAGTGCTTTTTATCATGAAAGGATGTTGACTTCTGTCAAGACTTTTTCTGCATCAATTGAGATGATCATACAGTTTTTGTCATTGATTCTGCATATAAGTTGTATTATGTTTATTGATTTATGTAGCACATAGATTCTTGAGTCAGAGTGTGCAGGTTCAAATCCTGACTCTATCTCTTATTTCCTCTGTTCCTCTATTTCTTCTATAAAAAGGGAATAAAAACAGTATCCACAGTTGTGAGGATTCACAGAATTTGTACATGTAAAGCACTGAAACAGGGTCTGCCACAGAGTAATCTCCCAATAAGTCCAAGACACCATTGGTGCCAATGTGCATAATTACCCCAGCTATTCATGGCACTTTACACACTTTTAAATGACTTCTAACTTCAATTTGTCACATTCCATTAAAAAAAAACCTACTGAGATTTTTATTTAAATCTCATTAACACCCCACAAACTGCAACTCACAATTACAAAGGGAAAACAGATTTTTACAATGGAGAGGTCCAGTGGCCAACACCCAAACCCCTCAGCCCTTGCCAAGAGTGGTACGATGCAGCCACACCTCTCCCTATAATGCAGTAAGATGTGTGCACCAAGTGTACGCCGACTGTGTACTTGGATTCTTGCCAAAAATATTCCACTTACACTAAATCGAACATGTATTCCCATTCCCAGTATGTAGAAAATACAGGGGACAGGGACAAATCTAACTGCAAGAGAAATAATAAAACAAGCCCAGAATGTGGGGTGTTCCTAAGACAGAGGCCTGGTCCATTTCCTTCAGCAGCAGGCTGCTACATATACCTTCTGTTGGACTCGAGTGCGGGCGATAACTACGAAAGTAATTCAGGCGTAATGGAGGAAGTGGATATTAGATCATATTAAGGAATTACCATATGATTCTTAGCTACGATAATGGTACAGTGCTTATATAAGAAAATGTCAATTGTAGGAGATACACACTAAAGCATCTGATGTCTGCAACTTAATCCCAAATGGTACGGCAAAAACAAAAGGTACAGGTGAAAAACACATAGATGAAGCCAAAATAGAGCATTCATTTTGGTATTCCCCCCAATTTTTAGAATTGTACTTTTTTCTTTAATAAAAAGTTGTACAAGCTAGGCTGCATTAGCTTTGTGAGCAGATTCTACAGGACTATTCCAGCTACACACTCTATACAAACTTCAGCCTTCCATTTATTCAGATCTTGTTCATGCCTTTCAGTAAGGCTTTGTCATTTTCTTCCTAAAGGCTTTACATATACTTATTAGATTTATTTTAAGGTACTTTATGATTGTGTTGCTTTTGTCATTGTTATCTTTTTTAAATCACCTGATCAAGAGAACCACCTGATTACAATGTCTCTCTCTTTTTGCAAGAGAACTATCCAGAACAATCCCAGTAAGCCCAAACCCAAGCCTTATACAGCTCCCTCACTGCCCTTTTCATAAGACTTCATATTTTAGATATTTTAAGGTTTACAATAAAACTAAAAGGAAGGTACAGAGATATCCTATAAGTCGCACCCAGGCACAGGCATAGCCTCATTCATTGTCACATCCCTCACCAGAGCTACATTTATTATCACTGATGAACCTACATTGACATATCACAGTCCATAGTTCAAATTAAGAGTTCATTTGCTGTGGTACATTCTGTGGGTCTGAACAAATGTGCAACGACAGGTATCCACCATTACACTACCACACAGAGTATTTTTCTGCCCTAAAATTCCTCTGAGACTCACCTATTCCTCCCTCCCTCCCCCATCCCAATTTGGGAAAAAACTGATGTTCTTAGTGTTGCCATAGCTTTGACTTTTCCATCACGTCATATGGTTGGTATCAGAGTAGCTTCTTTCACTTGGTGGTATGTACTTCAAGTTCCTTTGTCTTTTCATGTCTTAATAGCTCCTTTCTTCTTATCCGAATAATATTCACTGTCTGGATATACCACAACTTTTATTCACCTACTGAAGGACATCTTGGTTGCTTCTAATTTTTGGAAATTGCGGTTAATGCTGCTATATGTATCCATGTTCAGATTTTTGTGTGGACCTAAGTCTTAAGAAGACTTAATTTCACTTAAGAAGTGAAATTGATGCATTATACGCTAAGAACACATCTAGTTTTGTAGTAACTGACAAGCTCTCTCCCAGAGTGGCTGCACCATTTGTACTCCCACCAGTAGTTAGCAAGAGTTCCCACTGCTCTACATCCTTACCAGCATCTGGAGCTGCTAGCATGGCCCCTGCACGCTACCTGCACCAGCCAACCAACCACACCAAAATCCATTGTCAATGCCTCTTTTCCACCCCTGGTTAAAAACTACCTAGACAGTGTCAATTAACAATGAATCCAATCTACCTACGGCAACTTGCCTAACCTGTTCCAGCAAAACTCACTAAGGGTCTCCCACATTATTCTACACATTTAAGGCCATATCGTTTGTAAACTGGCAAAAAGATAGACAACGGAAATGTTCAGTAAACTGAGAAAATATTGATAGATGTTGTCCAACCAGCAGAAGTCATAACCCATAAACCTGTCACTTTCACCACCCTTCCACAGAACAGCTCAGAGTGATAAGACTGCCTAGAGTCTCAGAGTGCTCATATTATTTTCTGGAACTGATTGGGCCTAGGCTACTCTAATACCTGCAAAGAATTCTCCACTTTATTTCTCACCATACCATGCATTAAAACAAATTATACAGAGAATTTCTTGTTACAGCAAATATGTATTCATTTTTCGAAATTAAATCAATGTTTTGGATCTTCAACTAATGGTCATCATCTTGCTAAGAAACAACTTAATTTAGGAAACAGCTGTGGGGGGGTCTTACCACATGCCTTGACTCACTGGAGCAAACTCAACCAAAAGAGTTAAGAATTGAAAAAGTACAAGTTTTACCAATCTCTTGGGATATGCTTTTATAAAAAAAATTGTTCCCAACCCAATAAAATGAGTCAAGGAATGGTAGCATGTCCAGTTTCCTCTGGTGGCTTATTCTGAGCTACCACTGCTCTGTTAAACAGCATCTCAACTAAACATTGTTCTATAGAAGGTACAACTTGGAATAAAGGAAATAAAAGCATTTATCATTAGCACAGAGGAGAAGATGGGGAGAAAGTGGAAATAATGCCAAGAAGGACTTACTGGGCAGAAGTAGGTGTTCTCCACGATGTGGTGGGCCACCATGCTGTTCTCGGCAGAGAGAGACATGATAAACAGCAGAGCATCCCGAGCTTGCTGGCCTACCGTCCCCTCCCGATGAATGAAGGGGATCAGAAGGGAGAAGATGAGGAAGTTGGCGGCCCCTTGGTCCTCACTGGTGTGGAAAAACAGTTCCAGAATGGATGGATCTTTGGCAAGGATGGAGCAGAGCTGATTGAGCAGGACGACGAGCTTCCCCTCCACAGCAGGCGTGGCTGTCCCGGAACAGGAGCTGAGCAGCATCATCAGAGGCTTCAGAATGGGCTTGTGGTGCAGCAGAGGCTGGTGTGACTGCGTGACCAACATCTCGTACATCTTTAACTGCTCCATTTTGGTCTCATCGGTGAACTCCCGTCTTAAGCTCCAAAGGAAGAGCTTTTCCATGATGTTCTCGGAGACCACAAACTCCAGAATTGGCCCCATCGCAGCATCCTTGGCTTGCTCCTCAATGAGCAGGAAGAGCATGTGTTCCACATAGTTCTGCACGGCACTGGCTTCATCTGGGGGGATGGACCCATATTTCGCCTGGGTGTTCCTCAAGGGGTCATGCTTCTCTAAGATTTTTACAACCTGTGGCCAAGTCAAACATTGATTATTTGCCTGATGTTTATCATAATCACAAAAACACACTGCCACTGAGTTTACCATGCCATCAGGACTCAACGCCCACAATATGTATCTGAGAGGAAGAGGAGGAAGACGGGGAGGTAAAGGGGGAGGAGAAGAAGAGTTTGTGGAATGGCTCAAGTGATAGAGAGCACCTGCCTAGCAAGCATAAGGCCCTGAGTTCAAACCTCATTACTGCCAAAAACAAAAAGTTTTGGAAATAGTGGTGATGACTGTGAATGTGGTTAATACAACTGAATTATACACTTAAATATGGGTATGATGGCATATTTTCTTCAATACACTTCACCATAAAAACAAATTAGCAGTAAAAAATTTCTAAAATCTTTATAAATAGGTCATGCCATATCCCACGGTTGTCATTTGAATGTTTCCTCCCTCTCACTGCCCACAGACACTCACTTCTACTTTGGGTCAGGGAAATTTAAGCAATTTTATATCTCAGCTTCCATTTAACTTTATGACTTGGGATTTTTATAAGAATCCCATTCAATTTACTCCCTTTAAGATGCTTGCACATGATGATTTTTAAACAAGCAGCTGTTTGATCAATGGCTTTATCTTTGCTGCTTTATGCTTTTCTGAATTGCATGCAATGTTTTGTCTGTGGCAGTATCCTCTGGCCCAGTTCTATGATGTGGTGTTACAGGTTCTGTATTAAGGTTACGGAATTTTTTGCATGTCACTGGGGAGGCTGGCAATGTACACTGCTATGTCAGCAAGCATGAGCAACAAGGGCAATTAATCTCCCAGGAAAAGGTCTAAGTTTCTCCTCTGTCAAAGTAAGGCAAAGGAATTTTTATAGACCAAGTAAGCACATCATAACAGAATGAGTGGATTTCCACAGAATCCATACTTTCTATCAACTTCCATTACAAAATCCACAGTGCCATGTGGCAAAGGGCAAAGTTGCCCCGACACTCTTGAGCTGACGTTTCTCATGAGGAAGGCCTTCAGTTAGCAGCTACATGGGAGGCACAATGGTCCACAGACTGGTGGTCACAAGGCAGCCACTGGACATCATCTTCTTTGCCACACACCTGCCTCCAGAGCCTGCCCACTATCCAAATATCTCCACCCAACCGTGCAGAATTCCCTGCAGGCCTGGTCCTCATGGGCAGCAGAGATCCTGGAAGCTGGCTCTGGGGCTTTCCCTTTGGCTCTGGGCCTTAAGGGCATCTGAGAGAGCAGGACTGCAGTACCACACTGGTCCTACAGGGGTCTCCACTTCAACCTCACCCACTCTCCAGCCTAGAAAGTCCCTTCCTTCAAAGCTCCACATTCTGAAGGACAAATTAGCTAGACCTTTATCAGTTCTATAATTTCAAAGTCCACACACTCAGTTTATTTATGACAGCTAGATTTACAACTAGACCTTCAGGTGAAAATGTAGTGTACTTCTGTGTGCCCTGGCTGTCTACACTGCCCAAAGCTGGAATTGTGCCTTATGCATTGACTGAGGTGTGACAAATTATTCAGTCTTTCTGGAAAACAATCTGACAGTATGTAACAGAAGTTATGAAATTGTTCCTGACCACTGACTTGTTAACCTGACTTTAGGGAAAAGGCCCCAAGGAAACAACCCAAAAATATTTGTTAAAAAAGGTTCATATCAATGATATTTTCTAACAATGAAAAATAAAGAGATTACTGACCCAAATGGTCAAGAATAAGAGAATTAGAATCAAAATAGTTATCATCATATAATTATTGTTGTATAAGTGAATATTACACAAATCTCTACATGATATAAATTAAAAAGTAAATATAATGACAGATGCATGATTAGAAATAACTCTGAGAGAGAGATCCTTAAGATTCATTAGTTCTTGTTTCTTGTAAGTTGATCAAATTGCATAATATAAATTAAAAATAAAAGTAACAAAGTAGTTTTGTACTAATGTCTAAAAAAAAAGACCAAAACTGAGCTAAAACTGATTAATTATTGGGAATCTCCTAATTCTCAGGAATTCCTAAGCAATATAAATTTATAAAATGCATGTTTATATATTATATATGTGCAAATATTTATTACATGTCTGCCGGTGGCTCACACCTATAATTCCAAGTTCACAAGAGGCAGAGATCAGGAAGATCACAGTTCAAAGCCAAGCCAGGCAAATAGTTTGGGAGACCCTATCTCGAATAAACCCTTCACAAAAAAAGGCTCGAGATGAAGGCCCTGAGTTCAAGCCCTAGTACCACCAAAAAACAAAAACAAAAAAAAATTAATATATATTTAATGTATGTGTGCAATGTAGGTGACAACAAATCACATTTTTCTCACAAATGAGTCTTCATTTATACTATTTATTCCAGTGCAAGCACACTACCATGAGACATCTTGGAGAGAGAACTGAGAATTTTTAAACACTGCAAAGCACACATCAGCTTTTCTCCTGTCTCTCAACACCCCCCCACCCACACACACACACTTTACACTGCCTTCAGGTCACTGGCAGAGAAGTAGAGAAGTGTGGGACAGAGTCACAACAGCCCACAATGACAGAGACTTGCTGAGCTCTCAGAACGAAGTGGACATCTCCAAGCTCCTTCGCTCTCTGCCAGACCCAGGTGGTTTTACTGCCTAGGAGATGCGTGTTACGCCCGAGGCCATGAGTCACGGAGCACACGCCCCTTCACAAAGTGCTGACTGTACCACATTGCCACACATCCTGAACCTTGGGCATCAGAATCCTCCCAGGCCACCTCTCTCCCCTTCCAGGCAGACACACCTGTGACCCGTTTTTCAAGTAGGTTCTGAGGGCCACACCCTGGCAGGGAGTGTCTCAGAAGCCTCCTAGCTGGAGCCTGGCCAGCAATGAAATGCCAAAGAGCTTCTACCACGATGTCCCGACTGTGCTGTCCGGACAGTGTCGTGGCTCTTCTATTTCTGGACTTCTCTCCTTGCATCCCTCCCATCAAACTCCAGTGTTCTGTTTCCCTGACTTGTGCTGGCTGCCTCCCCTCACCCACTTACCAACGCCTTTCCTGACCGTGCACGCGTGATTCCATGCTGCTCCAGTGCCTCCTACAGGCCCAGCTCTGCCTGTGACGACCTGCTCAACCTCATCTCAGGTTTCCCAGCCCTGGCTTCTGCGCACTATATCCTGTCAGTCCAGGGATTCATATCAGGGGAAAAACACACCTAATAAGGTTGGAGGGCTCACAGAAGGTGAGAGAGTGAAAGCAAGCAAAATATGCCTTGTAAACATTTCCTTCACAGAACACATTCACAGTGTTAGGCCAAAAATACCATTTAAAAAACCACTCAGAGCCTGAGAAAGCCCACACTAATTAACTAAGTAAACCAGGTGAGATCAGAAATAGTAACTTAAATGTTTCACTGATCATAACTGGCAACTGTTCATCTATAAACTTTAAAAATTACAGTCTGGTGTGTGTGTGCGTGTGTGTGTGTGTATCAGGGCCTAGATCACATTTAGATCCATATGCAAATTACCACAACTCTAAGAAGAAACACAAAAATAAATGGTGTGAAGCATGGTGTTCAAATTGCCAGATCAAAGTGGCTATGTTTAATCTCATTTCACAGCCATTTGACTGACAAATATGAGGACTGTTGGGAATAAATAAGATTAGCAAACAGCTTATTTTTTTCATAAGAAATCAAATGTCCCTAATAATGGCCCCTACCAGTCAGTGATAAGGGACCCAAATTTTAAAGTCACTAACCCTTAGTAGAAAATAAACAAGTATCCACGTTAACATAGCTAATGAATGGTTATCCCTCACGATAAACACATGCTTCCCTATCAGAAGATTTGCTGTGATCCATCTTAGCATTGTTCTGTATCTTACATATATGCCTGCATCAATAGGTAACGATTTATACAACTTTTGTTAGAGGCTGGTGATTTCACGAAAGTCACATGAGTAAAACCCATAGTTTCAAATCCTTTGGAATGTTCATTTAAAGTAGCATTGCAGAAAAAAACATAAGTTACTAAGGAACCGTTTCCATCACACACAGAGTGATTTTAGCTGTCCTAGGCCAAATTCTCTTATGTACCTAGGATTTAGCTGTCCTAGGTCACATTCCACTTAATGTACCTAGGATTTAACTGTCCTGGGCCAAATTCCACTTAATTTACCAAATAACTACAATAGAAGTATAAGTTTCTGTCCAGCCCCTGTTCATGACCTAGCTCTATCTTTCATCTTGGGGCATTTCTTGCACACCAGTCTCCACAAGGGTATGGACCAAGCACCAAAGCAGTTCCTTTTGTATTTAGAGGGCAGCCTTATAACATGTGTGCCTGTATCAGCTATCTTAAGTCAGCTTCAGTCCTGGGCTCCAGAGACTCATCTAACCCTGGAATTAAAACAAGAAAAAGGAAGAGCTGTGGCTAGGACTAAAGAATGAGGTAATAATATTCTGGAGAATACCAACTTCAAGTAGAGCAAAAACATCAAACTTATAGCAAGTGTGCAGTAGGAGAGCTGCTGACATCCCTACAGGCTCACCCACCTTGTGGTCTAACAGAAGTGTAAGCTAAGGCCTCGGCCTTCTGACTTAAGAACCAGAGTTTGTGTTTGCTTTACTTTCTACCATCACATTCTACCATCTTCTTATAAAGCTGGGATGACTGACATTAATTATTTAATGTTAACACACACCAGTTTACTAAGAGATTCAGAAGACTAAACAGAGTTCTCTGACCCTTCCAAATTTTCACCTCTTCAAGGCTTTATTTACATTTCCTCTGTCATTTACTGTAGGACAAGACACAAACCAAAAGAGTAAAGATGAACAGAGCAAGTGACAAAGATTCAAATACATTTGTCAAATCCAGGTATAGATGCTTTGTAATTCTTTAACTTGGAGCTCTACACAAGATACTATAGCTAAAACATATGATCTACTCTTCATTATTGTGGGCAGATGTTTGACTTAAACAATCTACATGTTTCCATTTAGATCTGGATCCCCTCCAAGATGAAAAAATCTGCTGGCTGTTCCTCATCTATCCAACTGTATCTTTTTTCTTGAGAAAAGGTCTCATCCTGTATGTAACCCAGGCTGGCTTCAAACTCACCATTCTTCTGACTTCTAAGTAGTCGGGATTATAGGTGCATACCATCATGCAAGATAGGGTCCTGCTTGTTTTCTTTTTTTAACCGAGGCTGGCCTCGGACTGTAATCCTCCTAGCTCTACCTCCTGAGTAGCTGGAATTACAGATGTGTGCCACCACATCTGCCCTCTCCAATTAATTTTTTTTAAACCCACCCTGTTCTCCTGGCTCTAAGGGCAGACACTCTTGGTATTCAATGCTTTAAAGAAGTAGATAGATAATGAATAGAGCAAGGTCCATGAAGACACAAAGTACAACTGTGCCATGAACCGTAACAAGTGTTAGTTCACATGGGCGTCTAGATGAACAACTGATCTCCTGCCTTTCAGTTCAAGTATTTAGTGACATGTATGACATGCCACACTCTGATCCGGGCACTGGAACTACTAATGGTGTCTGACCATTGCTCTGAAGCCAAGGGGAAGATCCCATACATGCAATGGAAATACAAGGTACTTAGTGTGGCAGCGAAAGAAAACTCAGGGTGATGTTAGAACCCAGAGTGGCAGCATGAACCAGAGCAGGGAAGGCTTCCCGGAGAAAATGATGTTCGAAATGAGTCCTGCAGGAAGAGACATTTAACCAAGCAGAGCAATACTCAGGCAGAAAAAAGAACAAGTGCCTAAGGCACAGAGGCATGAAACCACGCGATGGACAGTCACCAGGGGTGAGGTGGCCAGGAACTCTGAGCAGTTTTGCATTTCTGGAGTCTAAATGAGAGACACGGAGTAACAGAAGCCAGGGCATAAAGAACTCTCTGTGCCATTTTGGCCTGTGCATGGTCAGATACTGGAAGGCCCAAACAGAGGAGTAACTCAGAAAGACCTGGGTTTTAGAGTCACTGCTCTGGCAACTTGTGGTACAAGATGACATCCAGAAGGTGAGAGGAAGCACAGACCAGGCCCACCATCCCCAGGGTTACTACTCCTGACTGTCTACTCAAGAACTCTTCTGGGCCGTCATGAGACCAATGCACACGGGGAACAACAGCTTGGAAACTCAAGTGTACTTCTGGGCCACTCAAGGTCTGTCTCCTGGCAAGCCCCAGAGTCGTGGGCTGCCTTGGACATGAGCCAAGCTGCCTGTACAACTACCAGTCCTTCACTACCGTGCACAACTGGGCACACAGCTATCCTCCATCCATGCAGCCTTTACACTGGAGCTCTGGCACAGAAGCCACTAGTAATAGCAGAACAGGATCTGTGGAACACAGGTCAATTGCATTGAATCTGGACTGACAGGTTCTAGTGGAAGAATTGTAGGACTTACACTTGCTACCTTTATTCCCTAACTTCTCAGATGCAAAAGCAGTGGGCTGTACGGCTAGAGGACACCTTGGTAAGTAAAATGTGGCCAGCAGTTTTGTCTAAGCACGTCTCTGACAGGCCTCATGGGTTTCCTGGGGTAACCATGGTAGGGGGACACAGGGGCCGAGTCACAGAAGTGACTTCCCTATCCCCTGCTGTTCTTCATCCACTCAATGGGACAGCTCACTGCAAAAAGCTACATGTGAAACTCCACAAGTTCACCACGCAGCCTTCATTCCTATCAGCTGACGGGTGCCTTCCCAGCCCGCCTCTCTGCCTCACCCTTAAGTTTTTGCCTTCCCCACTTTTTTTTTTACCATCCAAAAACAGCCAAAACTGATTGTTCCCAGTATCTCTTCTATAAGATTTTCTTTTCCTCTATCATCAAAACCCTTTTCCACAGCTAAGTTGTCAAAAATGTCACTTTCTCCATTCTCAGGACCTATACTGACTCAATTCCCACAGTCATTAGTACTCACTTTGCTGTAATGGTTCTTGCATTGTTATGCAAATTAACTCACATGTTCCTTAAGAGCCCAAGCCAGGGCTCATACCTTCTTAGTCCTACCTGAGAGGCTGACAGGGATGTGCCTGGACATGGGAGGCCTATACATGCCCTACGCAAGCCTCTCATGAGCAGCAACCACTCTGACACCCATGTGAGTGTCTCAGTTGATATTTCATTCATAAAGCTGGCGTGCAGGCCCTCAGGGCCCCTGTAGACAGAAACAGAGCTCATCTTCCAGATGAAAAAGAAAAACCAACCCAAAGTTAAAGAAATGTTTATAAAAGGAAATGTTTAGTGACTATATGACACTCCCTCTGACCAAGTTCTTCTGACACGCAACTCAGTGTTGTGCTGCGTGAAAAGGAGGCTTCCAGGTACCTGCACTATACTTCAGCTCACCTGAGATGTCTGGCAATGCTGACACCATTGGTACTGCATACAAATATGACTGATGGATTCTACAACCAATATTTACTCTTTCAACAATATGAGAGGGGATTGACACATTCCAGAAACAGGACATACTAACCGCATTGCCATACTTTAGAGAAAGCTTAACTGGGACAGAATTTGATAGGACAGATGACCAGCCTAGGCAAAAAGTCAGCAAGATCTCAGTCAATAAATGAACCACACATTATGGTATACACCTATAATCCCAGTTACACAGGAGGAACAAGGAGAAGGATCTCAGCCCAAGGCCGGTTCAGGCAAAAAGCACAAGACCCTATCTGAAAAATAACCTAAAAAGCAAAAAGGCTGGAGGCATGGCTCAAGTGGTAGAAACTTGCCTAGCACCTGCCCTGAGCTCAAATTCCAGTACCATCCCCCACAAAAAAAAGTGCAAAGCAAAAGTAATTATTTTAATTATATCGAAAAACGTCTGAATTACTTTCTTCCCTTTGCTACAACAGAGATGTCCTCAGTGTCCAAAGAAAATCCATTAATATTGGGATAATGTTAACTGTCAGAGAATGGGGAATCTTGCAAAAAAAATCTTTGAGGCTTTATGCTGCATGGAGACAAGAAGCTACAATGTGTGAACAGCCTAGAACAGCATTGATTTTGCTCTTTTTTGATCCAAGTTGTGTCCCCTACAATTACTGTGATTTTACAGGCTCAGTAATTTAATCCATGTGTTGTTTCCGGACACAGGAAGGAACTGGGTAGTCATTAAAAGACTGTCGCATAAACAGCCACTTACAGCTCACCTGGGGAGCGTGACAAGGAGCAAAAAGTGGCAACTGTGTATTTTACTATCTGTAAACTCCTAAGGAAAGGGGCAGGCTCCTAAATTTTCTGAACATTCAATCCTTAATTATCTACACCAGCAGATCACAGAAGAGTCACAGGGAAGTCAAAATGAATGATCAAAAAATAACCAGCTTTGTAAAGAAGACAGGTATTCAGGTCCAGCTAGGTATCTTTCCTTAAGTTACACAGAGACCAGCAGCCTGAAAATGGTGGAGTGCTGGAGTCCAATCCACAGGCTTTGAAGTGGAGGGACCGAGGTCTAAGGCTTGGTAACTGCTAACCTCAAGCACTTACTTAACCTCTGTAATTATCCATTCCCTCATCTGTAAAACGAGGCCAATACCAGCTATCTTACAGGCCTGTGAAGATCAATTGATACAAAGCATTTGAAGTACTCCAAGCAGTACTTTGTAACTGCTTAATAACTGTATACTTCAGTCTCACTAGAGTTGGAGGACAAGATGGAATCACAGGGAAAAAGGAAGGGCAGGATGTAACTGAGACCCCACCTATTGCAGAGTCATGTACAGGGAGCAACTGCTCTTATAAGAATAAATCAGAAATACGCATGTTTCCTAATTGCTTTTGTGAAAACCATGGTTTTTAACAAGATGCCTGTTCTAGGAAAGTAAGAAGAGAAAGCTATTTTCTTTCCTATCCGAAAGGACTTCCCCATATTTCTGGAAGCCTATTTGTCTGTCAGATAAATAGAGAGGCAGGAACCCTGGCGCAGTGTGATGGAGGCCCATGGAGTTACCACGACCAGCAGACAGTACAGGGCTCATACAGTACCTGTGCCCAGTGGTTTTTAAACACAATCATGCATGTTTCTGGGTCAACTCCCCGCAGGCTCACAGCCTGCTGGAGTTTCCTTTCTGTTTCGACCGATGACATCATAAACCGTCAGCACTTAAGTCATATTTAATTTTCACAAAAATGTGGCAAGTGGTCATTAACTTTCAAGCATCCTCTCAGAAATGTAACTTCTCCAGTTTTCATGGTCACCTTCTGAAACCTGCAATGACAATAATAAAAAGTGCATTTCGTTATGTTCACACATTAAATAGGTCACTGACTATTAGGCTTAAGTCGAAGATAGACATTCTCAAAGTCCAACACAGAAAAAATATTATAGATGCTTATACTCAATCTTTCAATTTTCTCTCACCTTGCTACTAAAATATAAAATAACAGTGGTTATTATACATGTAACAAACAATTATTGGGTTTCTTCTTACCACTGCAACTACGTACAACATCACCTCCCCCCAAAAAAATTATTATTCTAAATCACTTGAGCCCAGTTTTCATAATCAAGCAAGAGACTATGACATCAACTGTGTTTGTGGAGTTTAAAAATACCAGTAACAAGAAAGCCATGTGTTAATGGTGAGAGAAATGAAGAATGGCTCAGTGTGACTTGGGAGAGTCACAAAATTGCGGCCAGCCTAATGTAGTTGAGGTTGGGACTGCTTTGTTTTGTTTTATAATCAATGACTATCATAATGAAAGAATTCTCAGTCATTCTGTGGCTCCAAACTAGGTGAAGGTTTTTCTAGTTTTTCTGAAAAATAATTGAACTCTAAGTAACCCTGACAAATCAGAATTAGCAATGATCCATCAAAAATAAGACAGTTGGCCAGGCACAGTGCTCACATCTGTAATCCTAGTTACTCAGGAAGCAGAGATCAGGCTATGATTCAAGGTCAGTCTGGGCAAAAAAGTTAGACCACATCTCAACCAATAGCTGGGTATGGTGGCTCCTGCCTATAATCCTGGCTGTGCAGGAAGAATAAACAAGAGGATCATGATTCAGGCTGGCCTGGGGAAAAATATGAGACCCTGCCCCAAAATAACTAATGCAAAAAAGGATTGGGGGCATGGCTCAAGGGGTAGAACACCTGCCTAGCAAGCATTCATTCAACTCCTAGCACTACTAAAGGAAAAAACAAAAACAGAACTTTTTAGGTGTGAACACAAGGTAGTGCACTTTAATATGAAAAGTGACTTGTGTGCATAAAACATGAGGCGATTCCATGCACAACAGCACCAGTAGGGGAAAAAGACATTGAACTCATGGAGCGGATGGTGAATATGATCTAGCTATGCATGTCTGCCACAGAAGTTACGATAGTGCATTATCTCGCCAGTGCAATCAGCCCAGAAAGGACTGAGCAGAGGCTAGAACATCCCTTCCATCAGTGTGCAGACCGACTGAAGTTCAGAAGAAAAGCAATTACACTTATCAGAGCACTGGAAAACAAGATCCATGATAAAACTTCATGTGGGGATGGCTCTTTTCAACTAACATGAAGGGCAACCCAAGGAGAACATGCTCAGCTGCTCCTTACCAACAGTGCCCCATGGGAACAGGCTCCAGCCATGGGAGGAGTTGTCTGTGGGAAGCAGGACTGAACTTGGAAACAGTTAAGGAGTATTAAAATGATACTGGGACTATTCAGAGTGAAAGGATCTTCAAAGAGCAAAACCTTGCAAGAATTAGAATTGTGAGGAAAGAGACACTTTAGAGGAAAACAGGAGAAGACTAAGTTATGACGACAGAAATGCCTGTAAGGAGGCAAGTCACATTCCTGAGGGGAACAGCTTGTGCATACAGAGATGCATTTCATTATTAAAACTGGTGGATCTCCCAACCAATAATCCCTAGCAATAGAACCATGTTCTTTTCAACAGGCAGGTCCACCCACAGCCACACCCCTTGTCCATCCAGTGTTTTAAAACTCAGGAACAGTTGCCCCAGGTATGCACAGCACACATTCTCCTGTCCCCAGTCTCTCCCACTCCCTGAGTCCCTACTCAGTCTCCTCACCTGGCTTGGTTACCTGGCCAGCCCTTATCAACACTTAAGTTTGATAAGCTCTGTCTTAAGTAATGAGAGATAAAAATGAGATTCTGAACCATCTTCCTCTCAGTCCTAAACACTGTATTTCTGCAAGCTTGTAGACACCTTTTATTCAAACCACGAAGTGATAACAATGAGGAAATCAAAGTGTTTGTGTTTATTCCAGAGATTGAAAAGCTGTAAAATGACTTGAGATTTCTTGCAGCTCCAGGATTCTAAGATGTATCTTCAAAGGAAGAAATGGCCTCTAACACACACACACACACGCGCACGCACACACACACACACACACACAAAATTTAAGGCTACCTTGCAAGACCCTTTAAGTTAGTTCTCAAAGACAACTTACTTGCAATCCTCTTTGATGTGGGACAATGAGATTCAAACAGGATAAGTATCTTAGCCAACATCATGAGTTAGTTTGATGAAGATAGAATGTTAGTCTCTAGGTTTCCAGTCCAGTGATCTTTCTAGGAAGTCATTTTCTTCTTTCTGCTGGCTAGAATACAATCCCTATTTCCTTAAGGAATCTGAATCTTTTCTGGGAAAAATGCACCTCATTTGGTTTATGCTTATCCAATCACATTTTTAAGACAGATGCCTGAAGATGTGAAACATGTCATGAATACAGAATCTAGAGCACAAAGAAATTTTGGGAGAGAATGAGGCAAGTCACACAAGCTAAAGGCAAGAAGGTAACAGCTATACCAGAAGATCCTGCTGAAGAAAATACTACTGCACACACTCAGACACCAAGAAGTTGGATATTTCCATACCCTCTGTCTTGTTCCCCCAGTGGAGTATCTAAAACTGAGTGAGAGAGCCCAATGCTCATACAGGGTAGCAGGAGGCCTATGACCACAAGCACCAAGGCTTTCAATACGGTGTCAGTACTTTCCTACTCTCGGCCTTTACTTTTTTCCTTTTTGTGGTCATTCCAAGCATTTTATTAAATACTCAGATCACAACTGAAGAAACCAAGTGAAGAATAGAGGACAAAACTAATCAGAAAGCTGAGAGCAGGCAAAAGGCTGCAGTCACGAGAATGTGTGCCCGTGCCAGGAGCAAGGCATAGTCACACATTCCTTCTTCTTGCCCTCCGCTCTCAGTCTGAGATGTGTGACTCTGAATGTTTACAGGGAAGCTTGCCACTCTGGCGGAGAACCACACTGTTCTTTCCATAAATACACACGTCCAGTGACTTAAATTTCATGCCTGAGAGACACCCTATAGACCGTTCAGACCTTAAGAAGTGATTTTTTTTCTTTTTCAAACAAACCTCCAACACCAAAAATGCACAAAGGACTCTGTTTATAACAGTAGTGGCACATGTTTTTTGTTGTGTGCCTACCGAGGGTTTTGGCTGGGGGAGGAAGGGCAGGGAAAAAATAGCCTATCAAAATACATGTACGACAGTCTGATGGTTCAGCACAAATTCTACATTGTAGAGACAGAACTGTCTCCATTAATTCCACAGACATTACTGACTGGCCACATTTATATCTTGTTAATATTACACAGAGAAATATTTTTTCCATCAGTAAGGAAAGAAAATTTCTATTAAATATTGTTAGAGACAGGGATAACTGATATAAAAATCACGTGTTTTTATTTGCCCTTTTTTATTTGACTATGACATAATTATACAATATACCATACAGTCACAAAAGTTTATCTGAATAAACAGGTCTCCATCATACCTCTTTCCAGTGTAAAGATTTCTTCAACCTCTTTCCCAGGCAATCTAATTTCAAACTCTTTGGAAAGGTGTAACATTTAGGAAAGCTAGCCATGTGTCAAAATCACACTTTTTCATGCACTACCAATAGTCATTGGTGAGACACATTGCTGTCTCACTAGCACACTGAACTTGGATCATAAACACTTTGGCATTTAGTTGCACGTGATCTCGTGCTACCCTTCAATTCTTTTATCTATTTAAATATAATACCTTCTAATAATAAATTATTTTTTAAACTCCTGTAAGGGAAAGAGATAGAATTGGCTACACTAAAGGAAGCCAGAGCCTAGGGAAATCTTTATTTAGGGAAAACTAGTCATATTTGCAGGCCTACTAGAAGACGCCAATGAACATAAAGAGTCAGAAGATGTAAGAAAAATTATTTCGATGAAGCAATGGAAGCAGAAGAAAGGTGGGGTTGAGAACACAGGTAGGAGAGGCCAAGGTATGAAGGAAAGCAAAGCTGTATCCTTTCACACTGAGAGACTGAGTCAGAAGCCATACCTGATGGAAACACGCAGGCTCCCTTCCCACTTCTTCATCCCTCCTGATAGTTCTCTTGTTCCTTTGCAGACATGACAGATTCAAAGCAGGGAACCAAGGGTAAGGACTAAGAGTTTGTAGCTCAGTTCTTCAAGCCTGGAAGTCTAAATACATAAAGTCCCAACTTGAGAACTTGAGCTTTGAACTCAGAGATAGGGCCTTAGGGCTTTAGGTCTGGCTCTGGCTCCAAGAGCTGTGAAATCTTGAGCAAACAAATGAGGCCCTTTATTTGGAACCCACTTAGGTAAGTATCACGGCTAAATCATTATTCCTTAAGTCTCTTTCAGCTCAAGTCATTATTTTACGTACTTTATTGCAATTGCTGCACCTACTGGGAGAGTAATCAGATAATCATTAAAGAAGGATAATGGCCTTCGTATAAAAATCTTTGTAAGAATTCTAGCTATAAGTACGATTCTATCTGCATTCCTATTTGACTGTTAAAGCATATTTTCCCCTAAGGAACCCACAGCATAGAAATCACCCACTCAAATATAATTCTGTGACTGGGTTTTTTCTTTTTCTTTCTCTTTCTTTTTTTCCTTTTCTGAGCAACTGTCAGTAGACAAACTCATTGTTTTAGAATGCACATTGGAATGCCCTGGACTGGCTGCTATGAAACACATAAAAAGTGTATCACTGTAAATGTGCTTATCAGGGAAAATTCCATCTAAGGGTAAAGATGCCTCAAATATTGGGCACACGTGAAGACAGGTGATCCTTGTGCCCTCAATTATAACTAATACAAGGAGGGGGAATTCATTTTGAGCCAAACTACCATGGACAAACCCTTCTCAGAGCTTAAGAAAATCTTATCAAACCCAAATCCTCCATGTGCTCTAGTTGTCTGGCTCAGTTTCCTGTTCTC